GATTGATTCTAATGAAAGAGAATCGAATGATGGGCATCATAATGAAATTTGGGACGAAAAAAAGTAAATGAATAGTATGAAATAATAAAAAAGGGCATCAATCCCTTTGACTTCTCCTGTCAGATAAACTAATATGGAATTTTAAAAAAAATAGCATTTACTCAGTTCGAAGTGGTTATCGATTTCTTCAAAATTCAACTGGTGATGATCCATCCTCGAGTACAAGTGGTCTAGCGTCTCGGTGGCGTTTGCTTTGGCGGTTACATCTTCCGCCAAAAGTAAAATATTTCTTGTGGTGCTTATCACACGGGGCGGTCCCTTCAGCGGAAAATCTCCACCGAAGACATATTAATTCACACGTTAATTGTCCTAGATGTGGGTGTTGGGAATCAAATAACCACGTTTTCTCGATTGTTGGTGGGTGAAGAAGCTTTGGAAACGAAGTGGGTGGTGGAATGAGATTTCAAAATCGCGGGGGCTACATTTACGGATGAGGCTTGTGAGCATCTCAGAGGGCTGCAAGAAAGCGGATTTCAGGTTTTTTGTTATGTTTATGTGGCTTGTGTGGCAGGATAGAAATTTATTGTTGCAGGGAGGTCGTTTGAGCGATATTGATATGATGATAGATAAAGGGTTCAAATGGGTGGAGGACTACGATCATGCTCAAGCTTGTACTATTTTGCGGTTGGTAGCGTCATCAAGGATCATTGGGCCTAGAAGGGACGAAAAGGGAATGAAAATAGTTGTTATCTTCAATGTGATGCAGCTGTACGAGACTCTGAAATTGGCTTGGGTGGCTGGATAAAAAATTCAGAAGGCCTTGTAGTAGCGGTTTTTGCATCCCATATATTAGGTGCTTTCTCTCCCACTTTGGCCGAGGCTTTATCCATTCAATTTGGGTTACGTTTCGCTTCTACGATGGGAGTGAAGATCCAACAAGTCATAACAGATTGTCTTGAAGTAGTGTAATGGCTAATTGCGAATGATTCACATCACCCTTTTGAAGCTATTTTCTCGAACATCTTGACACTCTTGGATTATTTAGACTGTGGACTCTGTCAGCATACCAACGACTTCATATTACGATTGCTCATGCCATTGCTAAATAGGCGGTGGGATCCAAAACCACGATAATGTGATCATATTGTATTCCAATTTTTTTTTTT